AAAAAAAAAAAAAGTGGATGGTTTCACATGCGAATCTGCACTTCTGTTTACAAACTAGAAGATCTGCTCACTGGACCTGTGCTCTGGCTTGTGCGGGGTGGCTGAGTGCACCGGAGTCTCCAGTGACAATCTCAACCTACTAGGACGTGTTGTCTGGTCCCTGTAAGCAGTTCTTTAGCATAGGCTTCCTCACTACCATATAATTCAAATTTTCAGGGTGGGCCACTAGAGAGGTAAAGGAAGCTGCAGGACAAAAGTTGAGGGGTTTGATGTCACATCTGATTGGGAAGTTTTATGAAGATTCAGATTGATTGCTCTGATGTCTGCTGAACCCCATGAGCTGTGTGCTTGTATGCAGAGAGTCACATATATGCTTCATAATCAAACTCAGGCAGGCTTAATACGAACCTCAGAGAAGTTGAGTGATTTGCCAAACGTCACACAGCTTGTATGTAGTGAATTTGGAACCTGAACTCAGACTTTGTGATATGAAAAGTCTACCCCATGCTGCTGGAGAAAGGGGGTGCAAATGCTCCTGGGTGATGGAGCAGAGTGATAGGGTGGGGGGGCTCTAAGAACATATGGGGTCTGGAGGTCTAAGCAGACAAGAAGAGGAGGATTACCCTAAAGAGGAGACCCTCATGAAGAAAGGAGAGGCTTGGAAAAATGTTGAGGCTACACAACTGGACACAGAATGGTCACTGGACAAAGAACTGACCTCCCAGGACAAAGGCTGGTGAAATGACAGCTGGCTTGTGAATGACACTGTCTGGTAAGGGACTCTACATGTTTATTCCCACATCGTTTTTCCATCATTCACCTGTGAGCTCTTCAAGGGACTCATTCCTGGCTGTACCAGGCATGTGATAGGTGTGTGATACTAAATGATGCTCAGCCAATAACGGGCCAAGCTAAGGCCAGGTGAGTCTGCGTCATTTTAGTTAAGCGTTGTTACTCATTCAATAATAGCATTCGTTATGATAGAAGACACCACAAGAGGCCCCTGCTCTCCTGGGGCTGCCTTCTAGTGGTGAAGACACTCAAATAGCAGATGAATACATGTTTGATATAATTCAGGTAAGTTCTGGGGAGAAAAAGAAAGCAGACAAGAGGACCAAGAGCGGTGGAAGGTGGAAGGTTAAGCTGGGATCGTCTCTGTGGAGGGGATGCTTGAGCCAAGAGCTGAGGGCAGTCAGGACATCTGGAGGAAGAGTGTTCCTGGCAGAAGGAACAGCAGCCCAAAGGCCCTGAGTCAGGAGTATATGTGGAGTGTTTGAGGCAAGCAAAAAGCATAGTCTGGTTGGAGTGACATGAGCAAGCTGGAACAGAGAGCAACGATGGGCACAGATGCCTGGTACTTCCACTTGCCTATTCATAGGCACATAGCTTGTGAGCTCACAGTGGGTGCTGGGGTGCGGCATCCTCATCTCTCTTCCAGGGTCCAGGCACTCATTCCTGAGAGTACTGGCTGCTGATGACCACGCCCTCTCCTGTAGCTGCTCTCAGAGGGGGCGCTGCCTCTACCAAGGGTGCACTTGCTCCCTGGGGGTGACTCAGTCACAGAGGACAGAGTACAAAGGCTCAGACCCTTGGTCTCAATTCAGGAGGAGTCTGAAAGGTCGTCCCAGCTCGAGAGTCCCCAATAGAATGGCTGAAGCCTCTGTTATCCCTACATTCCAGCTCAATTCCTCCGTTTGCCCAATGCTGATCTACAAACCTCTGCTGCAGAGTCTTTGACTTAAGACAGAGAAAGCGACTTTCACATTTTCTGAGCCTCACCTGACCGTCAACACTGCCCTGTGCAACAGGAAGGTCAGAAATCAGCTCCATTTTACAGTTAAAAAGATGGAAACCCAGAAAGACAATGAGAATTGCCCAACCAAATAAGCCACGGGGCACCTGAATTTCAGGTGCTCCAATTCCCAGATCATTGCACTTGTTCAATCAATCCAACAGGGACTGGGATCCTATTAATCACCAGACTGTGCAAAATAGAGAACAAGACAGCTGCCAATAGAGGCCTGAGACATCACATGTGTCCAGGTCTGCCTGCATGTTGAGTGGGAGATAAAGTGAGTGCCAACAAGGTCCCAATGGGGCCTGTGTACCCAGGTAAGGAGTCTGTCAGGGAAGGAGGAGCCTCCCAAGGGTCTTAAGCAGAGGAAGCAAGTGGTCAGATTTGGGTTGTACAAAGGACACTCCTACAGTGTGCTGAGAACAGACCAGAAGAGTGAGAAAGTTGAAGGCTGGGGCTCTACTTTGGGGGCTGTTGCAGTCATGCGTCTAATGGCAAGACGTGGTAGTCTGGGCTGTAAACAGGGCAGTGTGATAGAGGGACTGCTGGACGCTAGCCTTCTCCTATGTCAAATGTTAGCAGAGTTCATCACCCACGGTGGGCAGGTTTCAGCAGAGCTTCCAGACTCATAGAGACTAGGAAGCAAGGCCAGTGAGCACCCTGTGGATCAGAACATATAGTGCTAGAGGATGAGGGCCCTGGGCTGGAAGGCACGACACAATGGTAGCAACAGTGAATTCAAACAGGGTCACGTGGATGGTGCCGGGCGGGACACCACTTCCTTCTGTTGTACAGGGGTCACCATGAGTCAGCGCTGACCTGACGGCACGTAACACTGTCGGTGGGGAGAAGCAGATGACCAGGAAGAATGGACAGGGCACAGGATGGATGTGGGGGAGGGACCAGAGGTGTCAGGATGACAGCCAAGCTCTGCTTTGGACTGCTGAGATGGCACTGTGGAGACAAGACCGGGCAAGAGCAAGCTTGTGGGGAGGAGGATGAGGTTGGTTTGGAACAAATTGGGACTGAGGAACCTGGGACCATTCTAGTGATTCTACAGCTCAGCAGAGAGGCCTGGGATCGAAAGGCCAGTCCAGGAGCCAGGAGCATTGGAAGAGGAGCGA